GTACCATCAGTACGCTGCTTCTTCCGATGAAGAACGCCCTTGCGCTCTAGCATCTCGCAGAGAGCCTTGTTCTCCCGATGGTGGGCATCAACAAGGGTCTGAAGAGCAGCTATCTCATCCCGAGACCGATCAGCAATCCCACGAGCTACCCTTAGCTCGTCACGAAGAGATGTCAGAGATCTCTCGTTCTCAAGCTGAGCAAAGGCAAACTCAGCTCGATGCTTCGAGGCAGTGTCCGCCATTTGGAGACGCCTATTCCGCTCATGTTCGAGATCGTCGCGTAACCCTTGCGTTACGCGATCAAAGAAGCTCTCGGGAACACACCGATCCACATGATCGTGTGGAGAGCGTCTTTCCTCCTCCTCCACCTCCATTAGAGGACTCTCGCGGTGGCCAGCGCTATCTAGTTGAGCAGCTGTTGAACCACCGCGACGTGAACGGACGTCGGACGAGTTATCTCGTCCGGTGGCGCGGCTATCCCCCGTCCTGGGATTCTTGGGAGCCCCGCTCCCAACTGATGATCGACGTACTGGGTCTGGTCGAGCAGTACGACGCGACACATCCTGTGCCGCAGAAGGACCGCCGGAGAAAGTCTTCCCGGCACGGTCGTAAAGGGATTTCAGGTTGTCAATCCCTTCGTACATCTCAGTAGAGACACGTACGCGCCACCACGGGCTGGTAAGGAGGTAAGCCTCCTTAGGTGCTCGTGCAGAGTTGTTCACACAACATGGGCACGAGTCTCCCCAAGAGAGGCAGGGTAATCCTTTCTCCCTTGACAGACGATGCAGCTTGTAGCGTGCACCTGTCGGGGTTCGCTTTTCAAACTTATCACGAGCTTTGATAAGTTTGTCGTTCCAAGCGTCACGACCTACATCCTCGAGTTTATGGATGTAGGCGTTCCACGCCTGAAGTAGTGAGGGACCATCACGTTTGTGATTCCCACTGTACCATCGATGTCTAAAAAAAGCATCGATAGAGAATTCATGTTCAGCGCGATAGTTTTTCGCGCTGGGGTCAAGGTGATGGATCCTTGACGAATCGAACAATCGTGTTCGATAGCGATCACTCGTCGTCGCCGACAAGTGATCCATGACGGATTTTGGAGGCATCCATGCCTTCTTCTCAGGAGCGAGACGCAACACATTGCGGTCCCGCTCTTCCTGCGACGTGCCGACAGAAGTACTGGCACCTCGCTGTGAAGTGGTGTCCATAGGAGAACCGACACCACTATTAGCGCCCGAGTCTCGCGACCTCGAGCGCCTTCGCTTCGGCGATGGTTCATCTGACTCATCAGATGAACCAAAGATGCTGCGACGCAAAGCATCGTCTATGCCACGCTTGGCAGGCGGCTTAGATTCAATTGCCGTCGATACGGATCCGTCATCCGTATCAGGAGAGTACGAGACACCGAGCTCGTACTCTGTGAAGACACGAGTGTCTTCATGACCAGCGCCTGCATCACCAGGTGACACAGGCTGGGTCGCTTCAGCAACCGATGAAACATCAGTTGCTGTTGTCTCTGCTTCGGCGTCCGCACAGAGACGTGCGGACGCGCTCTCGGCGGCCTTGCTCGCGCATCGCATGGGCTTGTTTACCATGCGATGAGATGTTGGAAAGTGGACGCGGACCAACAAGTGCAAACCCTGTCCCAAATGATTTGGGACGAGTATCCATTTAGTCAATCAGTCACTAAAGTGACTGATGGTTAAGGGGGGTGATGTAACGGGGTGAATCGTTACATAACAATTTATAAGAAATTGTTAATAGAATATAACTATAAGAGTTATATTCTCAGAATATTGTCATAAGGACAAATATTCTGTAGCACTTCCAAGTAGTTCCTAATTGGTTGATATAGGCCATTATATCAACCAACGAAGACGCGCCACGACAGACGCACGCAATGAGTGGTGAGCAGATAACTGATTTACACATTTGTATTTAGACATAGTTAGATGAAGATAATTAGTGATTTATTGCAGACATTAACTATTATAAATACAGTTCTACTTTTTACTTTAACTAAGTACTCGCTTCTTCTTACCGTCTTCCTCTGCACGTACGAGTGTACGTGAAGTTACGAGGCACCGCCTTATTCTGTCATCAGAATAAGTAGCTTGTACTGTCACCAGTACAAGCTTCAGGGCGCCCCGTTACATGCAGCCGCCACTCGGAGTCGCTATCGTTTCTGTCAAAAGACTGAAATCCTTAGCAAGGGTTGACCATCTGGTTCCATAATTTTACATCTTTGTCAATATTAGCGTGCTCTAACCAAGAGATGTTTTCATTACCTACATCCAGTGCAGATTTTCTAGACTCGAACTCATCATCCTACGGGTTATCCTCCACTGTAATCACATCAGAATCTTGACGGCTGGGCGTCTCGTCAACAATGATATTACCGATATTCAGTGATGCGCTATGATAGCCGACCTTAATCTTTGGATGTTCACGTGACACTGCACGTGCAACAGAGAATCCTTGCTTTTAATGCTGGGGCGTTTTGCCAAGACTGTCATTGTCGAAATTTAACGAGGTGCTATTGCAGCCGCCCTCGCACTGTGGATGTTCACGTTTTACCCACTTATATCTAAGGCATTACATTCTATATGACTTGAACTAGGGTCGTCAATGCTATTAGCTTCCAGTGGCCTGCTGATTAAATGCGTGCCACTTAGCAGAGTGCGTACCGTTGCACTATTGCCATTGATAGTGTAGTCGCTAACTCAGACATTCCAAAGTCCAGCTCAATAACTGACTCAGTCAGTGGCTCGCACCAGTAGCGCTTTCGTTGTCTCACAAAGGTGGGTTCATTAATCTTCATAGATTTAGAAAAAGCAATGCTCATTGCGCCTAAATTATCAAACCCTCGATCAAGCCATGGCTCATGGCGTTCCAGCCAGACCATACAGATAGTGAGATCATATCTTGAGGTCAAGTATAGGATATTACAGCGTTTATTGCAGTCAAAGTCTACAAGATTTTGCATTTAACTTAGATAGAACTTAGGTACGGTGGCACGGACCCTCGTTGCTAGACGTACCGGGATACGCTTTCAGTGCTTCAGCACACTGCTGACTTCCTTCAAGGGAAGGCGTCGGAAGTACTTTCCTGATGCCCCAGATTCAATCAAAACAAACCACGGCTATTCAAAGTCCTTTATTCTAGCCACGGAAATCAAACAAACCTGGCTTGTATTCACGTTTCGTGGCAAAGTCCCCTTTATTGTGTAGGTATGAGCCCTTCTCAGCTCCACCTCCTGCAGCCTCTAGAAATACTGATTTCTTTCCTGTAGGGCTCCCCGCGCCTACTTGGAGTCAGCATTCTCCCGCACCGTATCAGGGTGGTAATGCGGAGGTAAATAATGGCTCGTTCAACTCTGTTGTTGTTTTTAATGCAATGGACATTCAGGGTGTTTTGCCTTGTACTGCCTCACGTGTAAACCAACGGATGTTAAGTTGCTGTTTTACAGCTTGGAGGTCGCCTTTTTATCGCCCGCTGAAATAAGTTCCATGGGCTCAGCCCGATCAAACGAATAGTGGGCATGCCCATGTATACCGTAATGTCGTGCTTTAAAAATTAGTCCGGCGTTTAACGCTATGTCCACAGCCTCTTCAAAGATTAAGGGATGAACACGAACAACTCCGGTCCGAGTGACTCCAGTTAGAGGTATTTAACTGCATAGCAGCAAGAAGATTTCAAAACCCCTAGATGTAGTCCGATAATTAATTATTCTCTTTTCAGGAGAATAGAAGGGTGAACACACCCGAAAAACTTGGTTAGGTGGTAATAACACGCGAGTCATTTGTCTTTTATATAAATCCACGGGGAAAAGCGGCGTTTAAAGACGCATCACACGTAAGAGACCTTTATCTGGCTCTGCCTTCAAGATTTGATTTGGCTAGGCCAACATTTTTGCTACTCGTTTCTCAGCATAACGGCGCCAATCGCCGTTTTTCGACTTCTTAAAAGCCTGCAAAAAGAGTTTATCTCCCGCTTGCCCTTCAAAACGCCTTTCCGCTCAGATTGAGCGGGCGAGAATCAGGCTCTTCATCGGGAACAGGTACGTAGCGAGTTAGCAAAGCCGACGCCACATGGTCATGGACATGTCCGATAAGCGTGGCCTTGAATTGCACAAAAGTCCTTAGGCCTGCATTGAGCACTTATGGGCATTGAGCCACAATATAGTCGATTCGTATCGACCTTATTCAATGTCCCAAGCTTGTTAAGCGCGAGGCGCTGAGACTCAGAGGGGTAATATAAGCTACCATCTCATTCGAGGAATAGTCGATTTGTGACTACGGTGAAGGGTTGACTACGAAGGCTAACGAGTGCGCTGGAGCTACACATCTCTTACTCAAAAATGAGAATTATGGCTCTACGTAGTTTTGCAGATCTAAGGTCCTATTAGTATAAAGAGTATCTAGTTCTTAGAACCAAACAACAAAGACTCGGAAAGTCTTCAAGCTCGTAGAGCTTCTAGGCTTGGTTTTAGGGACTAATCACGATTTTGGAAATTGTACTCATAATGTACTCTAGAGTATACGCCACAAGCTGGCTCTTACTCTTACCGATCTACTGACGTCTAAACTATACATGTGTCAATCGAAGGTTGAAGGAGACTATTTTTTCCTTGTTTTCATCTGTAATAAAGATCATTTAGTACCTGATACAGTAGAACCTGTCTAAACTAATACTGCCTGATGTAATAACCTTGCCTAGGGTGATAATCTTTTCTGGTCCCGACTTAAGACCCATATTGAATGTAATAAATCTTCCTTAATTGACACTTGATAGCCAAAGACTGGTGTCACAAAATTTGCAAACTGATATTCACTATGTTGAGAACTAAAATTTAGTGCAAAGCAATTAATGGGCATTGGGATAGAAAATATTAAGATAGGCTTCTGCACCAGTTATTTAGTCCTGATCTTCCTTATTCTGTCCTCCATTTGCTAAAGGCCTATAATGAAGTCCTGGTTCAGGCCTGGCTGCTGCAACTAAAACACTTCAAGCGTCTGTATGGAATCGAGTGCCTGGGATGACATGACACGAGGAAGCTCTTCCGTGTCATCTTCTTGTTCCATCAGTTGATCAGATCGAAGGTGCTCAGCAATGATCTCATCTTCATCTGGTGTATAGGCGACCTCTTCCTTAGCAGGGTAGTTATGAAAGACGCTGATGTCCATTGATTTCTGGTACCGCAATTGACGAATTTGCATTTGAAGATCTTCGATGACCGCATTGTCGAACAGCTGCTGTGCAGTAACTTTAGGGGTTCCCAAAGCAACCGAGCGAATCTTGCAATGAAGGAAGCAATTCGTAATTGTTTCGGCCTTGACATCTGAGTTCAAAGCTCAACCGCCATCCGAATGGCCTGAAGAACATTGGTCCTATCCGGATCTTCCACATTTTGCTCGAGGCGCTAAAGGAGCAAGCGAGTGAAGCGCCTGCGAAAATAAGCCTTCAAATTCCTGATTATGCCTGTGTCGCACGGCTGGAGTTTCGAAGTCGTATTTGGTGGAAGGTAAAAAAAACGTGGTGATGCGCAACTGGATAATTGTAGGAAGTTGGGCAAGCGGTATATGCGCACTGCAGTTATCCATGATAGAAGAACTTGGCGTCCGGCCATGCGAGCATCAAATGATTTCAGCCACTTGGTGAAGATGGCTTGTGTCATCCATGCTTTACAGTTGTTTCGGTACTTGCAGCCGATGGTGTTGAGGCTGATGTTTTTGAAACAACGCGGACTTTTCGACTTTCCTATGACGAGGAGCGGCAGCTTGTCACCTCCATTGCCATTGCAACACAATGCCAAGGTGATATGCTCTTTATTTGTTTTCGGCCTTTTATCTGCTTTATTGCAAGCATATTATATGCCTGTGAAATAGTTTACGCAAGCACAAAGTGTCACAAAATGTTGCAAACAAGACCACTTGCCAAAACAAACCTGCAGCCGGTAGAATACCCGGTTTCATCCATGTGTAGATATATTTCCACTCGTAATTTTCCAGCGTCTCCCGAATGTCAGGGAGTGATTCCTTGATAAGTGTCATGTGAGCAGAACCACTCTCTCTAAAACGGCGAAAGGACTGGAAATCATGCCGGTTTTTAAATGATTCCAGCCAGCCATTCGAGAACTCGAACACATCATGCTCAGGGTAGAGGTGGTCAAGAAAAAGGGCTGCTTCTCTTTGAAAAGATCCCCGATCACATAGACGCATTCCTGATGGCTAAGGAACCACTCAACGAGAGCAGAATTCATCTGAGGATACTTAACAGTCCTTTGACGTTTTGCGTCAATATTGCTGTGTCGGCCTTCGCTAAGATTGTCGCTTTTCTCTTGAAAAGGTCTGAGATTGAAGGCTGACTTGTAACGGGGTGAATCGTTACATAACAATTTATAAGAAATTGTTAATAGAATATAACTGTAAAAGTTATATTCTCAGAATATTGTCATAAGGACAAATATTCTGTTGCACTTACAAGTAGTTCCTAATTGGTTGATATAGGCCATTATATCAACCAACGAAGACGCGCCACGACAGACGCACGCAATGAGTGGTGAGCAGATAACTGATTTACACATTTGTATTTAGACATAGTTAGATGAAGATAATTAGTGATTTATTGCAGACATTAACTATTATAAATACGGTTCTACTTTTTACTTTAACCAAGTACTCGCTTCTTCTTACCGTCTTCCTCTGCACGTACGAGTGTACGTGAAGTTACGAGGCACCGCCTTATTCTGTCATCAGAATAAGTAGCTTGTACTGTCATCAGTACAAGCTTCAGGGTGCCCCGTTACACCTGGTAGCACTTCGTAGTCCGTCCAAGGACCACGTTCACATCCAACATGAATCTGTCGGATGATGAAGATGACCAAAGCTTTCGCGCTACGCGTGACGGCTACTCCCATTTGAGCGATGTCGAATGGGATGCGGTTGAACGAATGGGTTCGACCATGGGCATCCATGCTGTTAGCGTCATGCTAGAGGCTCTCAATAGAGATGCCCAACATGCTACTATCGCCAAGTTCATTCAAAATGAACTTGACGCAGAACGCGAGAAAGTAGCCTTGCTTCACCAACAAGGTTCTCAACAAGCAGAGTTGTTGAGAGAACAAGGTGCTCAACAGTTTGAACTGTTGAGACAGCAGCAGGCTGCTGCTGGCGGGTCGATGCACTCGCGTCGACCCGAGACTTTGAAGATTGACATCTCAAAGTATAGGGGGTCGAAGAAGACTCCCTCTTGAGATGGTTCGTCGAATTGGATGACGCCATAAGGGCGCGTCGCATCGACGACGGGGATATGCAAGTTGCATTTGCCCAGTCAAATCTGGCAGGACGTGCCAAGACTTGGGCACTGGGGCTCAAGTTGCACGACCCATATGCGTTTGGGTCGTTGGAAGTCTTCAAGTCGCGGCTCAGACAAACGTTTGAACCGCCTAGAGCTGAGTTCAGGGCTCGAACCGAACTCTTGAAGCTCAAACAGGGTAAGCGTGATGTGCACGCTTACGCCCAACATATACGACATCTCACGAGTTGTATAAGTTCCAATCCGGTGGATGAACACACGTTGGTTTCGGTGTTCATGCAGGGTCTTGCGGATGGTCCCGTCAAGACTCACCTGTTCCGGCTTGAACTAGATTCACTAGAACAAGCCATTTCCATTGCGGAGCAGGAAGACTTCAGTCTGAGACAGGCTCGCGCCAGCTCGACATCATATCGTCAACCGAGACGATATGACAACGGAGGTCCAGAGCCGATGGAACTCTGTTATGTAGAGAGCGAGAAGGCTCGCTCTACAGGCTACAAGAAGTTGCAGAAATGCAACAGATGTCAAAAGACAGGACACTACGCTTACGAGTGTAGTGCCCCTCGTCCAGTGTCTCGCGACACTGGGCGTAGTGACCGTCCACCCATGAGAAAGGGGCAGGGACGAGGGTCCGCAGTTGGTGCAAAGACGCAACAACGGGATGGACCGTCAAAAAACGGACAGGATCAGTAGGTGCGGAGCACCCTACTGGTCTAGCAACGTCAAGAGAATTTGTAGGCCTCTTGATGAAGGTTGCTCCCAACACACAAACGTTGTGCGTTGCTGCTCTAGGTAATGAGGTCTCACTCATTACCTTGAAACTCGAAGTGACAAATAAGTTGTCCCTTCGAGCTCTAGTCGATTGTGGGGCGTCCAACAATTTTGTGCGACGCCAATCGCTAGAAGATGGTCACTTTAAATTCAATGATTGTGACACACCTCCTACGAGGATGACGGTACGTCTTGCGACAGGCGCATCCGTAACCGTCATGAAGCGTATAGTGAAGATCCACTATACGCTAGAAGATACCCAATATGACGATGACTTTATCGTATTGGATTTGGATGACAAATTTGATGTCATCCTTGGAATACAGTGGCTCAGAAGGTACGAACCACGAGTAAACTGGCAACATCGGACAGTAACGATGCCTGCCGCTTGTTCATCAGATGGCCATCTGATGAACGTTTTGGAGCGTCCACAAGCGTGTGGATGTACTACGAGTGAGTGCGATGGCCTCACTTGTGGTACGGTCGTTAGTACGACTGCACAAAACCTTAGTGTACCAAACGGTTACACTTCGGAGCAAAGTTCTGGCGGCTGTGAGGAAACACAGGCTGCGCCGAAGGTCCACCACTCGAATAAGTCGGGTGGACTGGGACAAAGATGTATCCCTAGCGGGGAACATCTAGAAGAGAAACAATCGATCGCTCAGGTTAAGCGAAACGATAATCCTAGATCGACTGGAGAGTCTTTCGTAGAGGATCTCGCTGCGGTTGCGCAACCCCAGCTAGAGGAAGTAAAGGGAATAAGTCCCAAGATTACAAATACGGCGGAAATAAGTTCCCCGAAACCCGCGGGAATAAGTCCCCGGGAAGACGAAGGAATAAGTCCTTCGAAGCCTGAGGGAAGTCCCCAGGAAATGACAGAGACATTGAATGTCATAGTCAATAACGGATCAAGTGTAGGCGCTTATACACTTGATCTGATTGCGCCTCCGAAGTTAACTTCGGAGATCACTCAGTTGCCAACGCTCGAACATAAAAGGTTCTTGCGTGATCTGCGTAGTGGCAAAGTCAAGCAGATCTGCATACTCGTCGCTGACGACGAGTGTGTAACCGACATAAGGTCAGCAACAGTGTTCACTGAGAACGAGAGAGTTCTCAGTAGTTCATCTATGGACGAGAGTGTCCTAGATGAAAAGACACGAATTGAGCGATATGACTCCCAATCGTGGGAATCGCTCAAGGAAAATCCTCTCTATGAAGATTTGGTTGAATTCAAGGATGTATTCCCTGAAACTGTTCCGTGCGAATTACCGAAGGATAAAGGTATTCGACACGAGGTCGAGCTTAAACCAGGCTCGAAGTACTGTGTCATGAAGCAGTGGCCACTGCCTCGTGAACAAGTACTTGCGATCGACAAGTTCTTTGCCGATCGTTTAGCTGCGGGCCATGTGAGGGAATCAACTTCCCCACATAGCTCTCCGACCTTCTGTGTGCGAAAAGCAACAGGAGGGTGGCGGATAGTGCATGCATTTAACAAATTGAACGATGCAACGGTACCGGCTCAGACGCCGATACCGAGGAAGGACGTAATCATTGATGGTATGTCAAAGAGTACCATCTTTTCGTCCATGGATTTGATGGATGGCTTCTATCAAATCCTTATGCGGGAACGAGATATACCCTATACCGCAGTTAGCACGCCTAGCGGCATGCTCTGGGAATGGCTAGTAATGCCACAAGGGCTCAGTAATGCCCCTGCCACGTTCAACAGATGTGTATCACATCTGTTAAGACCAGTACGAGAATTCGCGCCGAGTTATTTCGATGACGTATTCATCCACAGTCGGGCTATGGATGGAAAGTCGGACGTTGAGGTTCACAGGTACCACGTCCGACATGTTCTTACAATCATGCGAAAGCATCAATTGTATGCAAACCTCAAGAAGTGTATATTTGCCGCAAGCGAAATACCACTTCTTGGGTGTATCGTTGGTAAGAACGGTGTACGTCCTGATCCCGAAAAGATCAAGGCGATCACCGACTGGCCTGTGCCGGTCGATGTCAAAGGTCTTCGAAAATTACTTGGGCTAGCGGCGTATTTGCATAAGTATTCACGCAATTACGCCGAGATGACTGTGCACCTCTCTCGTTTGTTGAAAAAGAACGAGAGGTG